AGATAGATAGATAGATAGATAGATAGATAGAACATTTGAACTTGGAATCTGAAGGTCTTCTGTAGGAATAGTTTTTATCTACCTTCTGAGCAAAGAATAAAATATGCTGATAGATAGATAGATAGATAGATAGATAGATAGATAGATAGATAGATAGATAGATAAAACATTTGAACTTGGAATCTGAAGGTCTTCTGTAGGAATAGTTTTTATCTACCTTCTGAGCAAAGAATAAAATATGCTGATATCTAAAGTCACCGGGCCATCAAGAGGAGGAAAAGACGGTTTGCAGCTTGCAAGACTCCCCCTCTAAATATTAACAAAGGAAAGCCCCCCACCTCAAATGACATTCCCAACAGGGGACAGAAATAAGGGCTGCAGATACCAGCCTGCGCAATCTCTCAAGCCCATCTGATCTGGGGTCACCAGTGTGCCCCCCCGAGTGCGTACCCCCCCCAAACAGGCTACGTCCCTCATTTTCCATATAAACTTATTCTAGCAACTGCACGCAGACCTTTGATGCTGCTAAGGCTTATTTATTCCAAGCTGCTGCTATTTACTGATTTCCCTTCTGAATTTATTTATTTATTATTAAATTTATACGCAGCCCATCTCCCCCAGAGGGTGACTCTGGGCGGCTTCCAATTAAAATCCAGGAGAATAAAGACAATAAAAACATAAATATCCCCAATTAAATATATATTTAATATATTTATATATATTATATTTTATAACATAATATATATTATTTTATAATATGATATAATACATATTATTTTATAATATATTATAATATAATATTAGGTAAATATATTTACCTAGCAACACCCGGAATTCATCCCTCGACTCCTTGCAGGCTTTCCCCATTCTTGCTCTGAAGGGCATGCCCCGGATCCTTACTTAATCCTTATTTTCAATGGAGTTACTCCAGCTCCCCACCAAAAGGTATAGGGCCTGAGAGGGCCCCAGGGGGCCCCCAAGGCAGGCTGTGGAAGATCAGGGGGTGACTTTGGGCCAGTTGCTCCCTTCCTCCCTCCTAGCCGGCCTACCTCGCAGGGCGGTTGTTGAGGGGAAAGAGGAGGCGGAAGAAGCACCCGCGCCCCCTAGAGGAGGAAAGGCGGAAGAGCAGCCTGGGACTAAATACCGCCCGTCGTGCGGCGTCGCCCCGCCCACCTCCCCTGACGTCAGAGCATGCCTTGCCACGCTCTCCTCCTCGCCCCAGCTGCCCCGCCCCCTCCAAAGCCGTGACGTCACCCCAGGCTACCTTCCCGCACGAGCACCGGCGGCCTGTCCGCGCAGCACTCGGCGAAGTAGCAGTACAGCTTCGGGTAGGAGATGATGCCGGTGAGGGCCGAGGCGGCGGCGCCGGCCAATGCAAAGCCCACGGTGATGGGGTCCACCGCCTGCGCCGCCGGGCCCAGCTGCCACAGCACGAAGGCCAGGCCCCACACCGCCCCGCGCGCTCGGAGCAGCTTCATCGCCGGCAGCCGGGGCCGGGCCGCAGCCTAGTTTACCTCAGCGCCGCGCTTCCGCTTCCGGGCCCGCAGCTTCCGGCTCCGCGGGCGCCATCTTTGCGCCGGGCGGGCGGCGCGGGCGGGCAGGCGATTGGCTGCGGGAAGAAGGGGGCGTGGCCTTGTCTCCCCGCCTTCCTCGGGTTGCAGCTGGCCGGATTTCTAGCTTCTGCATCTTCGCACGGCCGGTAGACCCGGGTCAAGAAGCCCTGTCGTAGCGCCCCCCGCTGGCCGGGATGCATGTTCACCTGGATCCCCAAGTGCCGACCCTGTTTCAGCCTCGCGTGCTTTGCAAGCAATTCTTCCAGGGGCTTCCCTACTGCGTGGCTTTGCAAAAATCTCCCCAAAGAGATTCACTGCTCGGAGCTAAATAGCCGCCCGCCTTATATATGCGGTATAGTCACCCTCGGGGGGAAACGGGCGGCCTAATAAATTTAATAAGTAAATAAATAAGCAGGACTCTGATGGCTTGCGGACAATCCAAGCAAATGTAAAAAGAAGGAAAAGGAGCAGGGCAACAGTTTGAAAGCAAGGAAAAGAAACAGCAGGAAAGCATATGAAGAGCCATCGTGGATGCCAAAAGGTTGGGGACCACGCCGGAGAATCTTCCATCTGGGCTTAGCAACGGACTGTACGGAATTTCTCTTCCTCTTTCCTTAATTGTGCATAGGAAGTCCGCGTGTGATTGCTGTTTTATCGATTTGGCTTTGGGCTCTCCTCTCTGCAACTAAATCTATGTGGCTGGAAATGATACTGTTAAAAAGCCCTTGATCGATTTCTGTGTGAAAAATATATTCTTTTTAAGCCAGTAAGGAGGAGCATCTAGTATCACCTTTTCAGACTTCACACCTTATTAAACCCTAAGCTTCTGCCTTTTAATAAAATGTGTGAGTTAGATTCCTTCTGATTTGGGGCTACTAACATGGCTCTCCTCCTACAATGTGGACTAGGAATTCTGGGAACTGAAGTTCACACATCTGGAAAGCGCTTAGAACCTTGATCAGTGTTTCTCAATCTCAGCAACTTTAAGATGCGTGGACTTCAACGCCCAGAATTCCCCATCCATTATGCTTTACAATATGTGGACTTCAACTCCCAGAATTCCCCAGCATAGACAAAAACAGTCTAAGAAGAAGGAAAGCAAAGTCAACACTCCCTGGCTGAGTAAAGGACTGAAACAGGCTCTAAGGATTTAGAAGCCCAAATAAAGTAATATTTTGCATTAGTTAGCTCTTGTTATATGGATATGTAACTTTTCATCTGCCCTTAGGAGAAGAACGCCCCCGTTGTGGCAATTCCTGGTTCAGCCCCACTTAATCTTAACTCATTTTACATGAGGAGCATCAAAAAAATGGCAACAATATCACGATGTCATTAAAACCTATTCTAATATATCAGGAAAGATAACGTAATGTGTGTGTGTGTGTGTGTGTGTGTGTGTGTGTGTGTGTGTGTGTGTGTGTGTGTGTGTGTGTGTGTGTGTGTGTGTGTGTGTGTGTGTGTGTGTGTGTGTGTGTGTGTGTGTGTGTGTATTTATATGTCATTCTTGAAACATTTGACTTTTTGTAGCTAGCTTGGTGGGACCCTGGTTCTTAGAATGAAGGATGGAACTTCAGATGCTAGAGGCTGGGAACCATGGGTCTAGATCATGGAGCCTGAAGATAAAAACATCCTTTTGTGTCTCCAGAATGTGCTGCCTAGCAATCGGTACCAAACAAGAGCAGATATCTAGGTTTGTCATCAGCAACTCACAGTTGCTTCTGGGGATCAAAGATGGTGCATAGCTCAACATGACCACAGGCAGATGGTGATGGGAAGTTGACAGAGCATAAAAACAGCCGGAGAGAACCAGGTAACTTATTTGAGATCTTTGGCGGGATGGCGAGAATTCAAATTTCCATCCTACGTCATCGCATGTGGACCACACAGACAGACAAATCCTTCAGGCCATCCTTTGCTTAAAATAGAAATCTTTACCCCTGGAAATGCAATACATTTGAACATGAAGAGGATGAATTGGTAACTATCACGCAGGGGGAGTTTCAGGGCGGAAGCAAAGGGAACATCGACAGAGAATGAGAAATAGCCCCTTTTCACAGCGCCTCTGCGTTTCATCCTCAGGCCAACAGAAGTGGGGAACCTCACGACAGTCCAGAGTAGGAGAACCAAACAAGGTGGCTTCAGTATCTCCTGTTCATCTTCTTAAATTTTTCATAGTGATAGTCGTCGGTGGCTTTCTCATTTGGCGGGCGCTTGCGGTTCGGAGGAGATTCTATGAAAGTCAGAAAGGGACATCTCAAACTAAGGGTCAGGAATTCGCAAGAGATGAAACAGGAAGAAAAGCTACAAGATACAGACGAATGGCATTCAACCTTCCTAGCGGTTGGCAAAGCAAACCCTTTTCTATTTATTGATGATGACAAAGCTGCGAATAATATGCTCCAAATGTATCATTGTTGGTGGTGGTGTTGTTATTAGACCACTGAATCTCTAAAAGACTCTCAGTGGTTTATAGGTAAGATACATAAGAAACATTATAGAATAAACAAAAAGTACAGGTAGTCCTCGCTTAACGACCGTTTGCTTAGCAACTGTTCAAAATTACAACAGCGCTAAAAAATTGACTTACGAATGGTCCTCGCACTTACAACTATTGCAGGGTCTCCGCGGTCATGGGATTAAAATTCGGGCGCTTGGCAACCAGCTCGCACTTAAGTGGTTGCAGTGTCCCGGGGTCACGTGATCGCCATTGGCGACCTTCCCAGCTGGCTTCCAGCGAGCAAAATCAATGGGGAACTGCGTGATTCACTTAATGACTGTGTGATTCACTTAACAACTGCCCCAAAAAAGGTTGTAAAATTGGGTCCGGTCACATGATGATTCGCTTAACACCTCTGTACACGTGACTTACTTTCCATTTCTGGTCTCTCAGTGTCTCCCACTCTCAGAGGTCGAGCCTTCGGTTCCTCTTTATTTCTTCTTACTGGAGCATTCAGCTCTTCGTGATAAACTGAAAAGAGACACACCAAATTGAGCGTGGTAGCAGAGGAACCTAGGTTTGCAGCTTTCAGACTATGGTGTTTCAGAGGGGGAACACCAAACCATGATTTGGTCTCTGTGAGCAAACTTTTAAGAACATTTGAGAATCATCTGTCATCTTTCTTTTCCATCCATGTTCCTTCCAGGCTTAGATCAAGCCACAGTTTATCCTAACATCTGACCCCTCAAACTATGCCTTGCGTTTGCCACCCAAGCAAGGAATCAACCACAGTTTCCAGTCCTGGAGGGGCAGTACACAGGGAAGCCGCAGTTTGCTAGCTCAGATGGGGTGGTCAAGTTAAGATTTACCTCCAGCCAGTAAAGGATGGTGGGTGATGTTGGGTTAGGAGTGGGGGACACCTGGGTTCAAGTCCCCCTCTCTTTCAGCCAACCTACCTCATAGGATTGTTGTGGAGACAATAAAGGGAAATCCGAGTATAAGCTGACTGGCATATACCCAGCTCCCTATTTACACTCCCAAATAAAATAATACAAAATATTTTGGAGATGGATTCCAATGGGCTAAGCTCATACATTTGCTTTGTTCTCACAAGACATTAAACCAGGTTGGGTAAAGAATGAGCAGAACCTTCACACCCCATGCTAAGTTTGTTTAGTGTTAACTTGGTTCATTCTTTGGTGGCTAAGCATGAAGTGTTCATCCAGCCCCCTTGGTGCCTGATGCTCCAGTATGTGGGATAAAACCAGAAAATAAATAAATTCAGTCCCCAGATTAAAGTGTGGCATGCAAACGTGGCCACTTAGTCAAACCCAGACGGGTTTTCTATGTTTGATCCTTGCGTGATGTGCAAGTTCACCCACCGTGGCGTGCAAAACCTATTATTATTATATTTTATGGTTTTGCATTGGGTATGCGCACAGCCATCGGGTTCCATTCCATAAACCCAATTAATTCTAACCTCAACCTTGTTCAGTATCAACCCAATCTGCCAGTTTCCATTTGATCCTGTGCCAACCCGCTTTGGCCCAGAACAGCGAGGCTAAACCCTTGGGCACTCACATCGGTTGTGCTGGACATAATTCACGGCCATGTTGGTGGGGACGAAGGAGGTCTCGCTGTCTTTCTTCTTGTTCTGCTGCTCAGCCAGCAATCTTGCCTTGGCCTCTTCGGTCGAGATTATGTTTTTTATCTTGGCCCTAAGGAGAACCACCAAAAGCCACAAAATCAGGCTGAAATTCTTTCGGACTTCCGGGGAAGACACGGGGGACAGACGACCTCGGCAGAACGAAGAGCCGAGTGAATTTGGGGATTTGTTTATAGATAAAAGATGGGATATGGGCAAAAGAGCTCATTTGTTGCATTTTAAGAGAAGGTGACAAGTTACTAAAATGGTTTATACTTGTTGTGATGAAGGGGGAAGTCATTTCTTTATATATTTCTTTTCTTTACTATATTCTTATTATTTCTTCCTTTTCCATTTCTCTTTCTACTTTTTCCTTCTTTTTTTTCTGCACCTTCTATTTGTTTTCGTTTTTCGTTTGCATGAGTTTTCACTGTCGTAATTGTAATCTTTAATAAAGTTACTATAAAACCAGGCTGAGATATTTTCCAGACCACAGCAAGTCAGTAATAACAATACCAGCAATAATTTATGAAATGGATACGCTGCCCAGCTCTCAGCGACTCTGGGTTATGAAAAAGGCAGCCTCGGAGTTCTCTTGGACCAACAGCTTCCTTTCTCCCCTCGTTCCCCAACATCTGCCTGAGTTTAAGCCTCGCCATTCTGTCCCTCTCACCCACCCCCCTCAGTTTGCCCCGTCTGTTCCCTTTTAAGACCCTGCTACTCATCTAGTTTCTCCCTGGAAACAATCAACAGGCCTGCAGGAATCCAGGAACTTCTGACGGGAATTGAATTGCAGCAAATCTGTGAAGCCATTATGAAAGAATTCGGATGACTACTCACAAGCAAGTCCTGCATACGGGGGCTCAGTTTTCAAGACTTGTGCCGGACAGATCTGATATCAGCTTGTTCGACTCAGACTGAGCAAGAACTAACTCTCATCCTACCGAAGAAGACAAGCATCAGAAAATGTCCACCTACTCAATTCCAAGGTCCACCTCAGGGATCCCACTCAGCATTTGATTGGACAGCATCTCTTCCGTCTTCTTGGCTGAAGACACACGGATGCTCTCTGGAAGCTCGTACAGACAGTCCTCTGCATTCTTCTGCTTCACTTTCTGCTCCTCGTTCTCCATAATCCCTTTCCTCTTCTTCAGCTCAGTTTCGATGTACTTCATCCTGAAGAGTACAAGAGAACCCAACTTCAGCATTTACTCTGGTCTAGGACAACCATGAATGATCTGCTGCTTTCTAGCGGAGCTGAACCATCGCTCATATAATCCTTGACATCACACCTGCCTCACCCCGAGCTTACAATTTAACAAACACAGCACAAAAAGAAAATCAATGTGAAGGGAAAAAGAGAAAAAGGCAGAACGTTTGCCTGTCTTTCCTTTCAAATTCCAACTGTCTAACTATTGACATCCAGTTTATGAATATTCTATCAAGTTGACAAGGTGTGAAATAATCTGATGTCCTCTAATCAATACTTGACATTCCGTGGCAACAGAGCTCATTGGCCTTTTCACCTATTATATATAATTTGTAATGATTTCTTTATGTCAATATATCCCTCTTTTCTGCCATGCATTTTAGTTTATTCAATTTCTGTACTGCTCTTTCTCCCTAAGGAGCCAGAGGAGTTTACAGAAAAGCTATCTTAAATAAAATCATTAACAATAACCTGACACTTTTCACATGCAAGAATTAAAACAAGTCAAGGAAGGAAGAAGATGGGAAAAGGGAGGGAGGGAGGCAGGAGAGAAGGGAGGGAGGGAAGAGGGAGAGAAGGAAGGAAGGAAGGAAGGAAGGAAGGAAGGAAGGAAGGAAGGAAG